TTATTATACAACAAGAGAGAACAGATACTTTGTGTGTTTTCATATACTATGAAGCAAGAAATTGATCTTTTTTTTCTTGGTGCAATTTATTTTTTATTATTATTATATATATTTTTTATTTTACATGTCGATCCCAGCAGTTCCCTCTCCCTCCCTCCCTCCCTCTTACCCTCTCTCCCCCATTGCATCCTGACCATCATCCCCTCCCATCCTCCCACCCCAATTCCACATGTAGGGCAATGCCATCCAGGTGGGGTCATATAAATCTGTCAAGTCATTTGAAGTAGGGACTAGGACTTCTGTCCCCCTCCATGGGGGATGTGTCTGCAAGGTCCTTTTGTGCACCAGGAATACATCCTGATTCCACTGTCTGAGGTCCCTTAGACTGCTCAGTCCTTCTAGCTGAGACCCATATTCAGGGGGTCTGAGTCAGTCCTATGCTATCAGTCTGGAGGCCCAGTAGCTTCTCCTTGTTCAGATCAGCTGTCTCTATGTGTTTCTGCAACCTGGTCTTGTCCTCTCCCTCTGCATCTGGATTCTAGTGTGGTTCAGTGTTTAGTTGTGGGTGTTTGCTTCTGTTTCCAACAGGTACTAGATGAGGGCTCCATGATGGTGAATAAGTTAGTTGTTGATCTCACTATCCAGGAAGGGCATTTATGGTAGCCTTTCCACAGTTGCTCAAATTGTTAGTTGGCGGCAGTCTTGTAGGTCTCTAGACAATAAGGCACAACTGCTCCTGGCAACACCACCTGAGTCAGAAAGGAAGATGGACATTAAAGAAACGTGTTATAAAGTTTGCTTTCAATATGACAAGACTAGCCATTTGGGCAAGATACTGCTCTTGTCTGGACTGTTTGACTTTATGCTGTATAAACTGGACATGCAGGACCCACAGAAACAAGATGGACAGTGCTACAGGATTCCTGCTTCATGTAATAGTCTGCCAGACAGTCTACAGGACACAGAGAAAAGTGACTAACAAACTGTCAATACAGGTGGACAGTTTGCTGAGTAGTCTGCCAGACACACTATAGCCTACAGGCTGAAGATGGAACATTACAGAAGAAGTTTGGATGACTGACCAGGCGAGTTGTCTCTGTCATTTCTAGAGTTTATATATTATCCTTCTGTGGTCTTTGAAGGAGTTGAAGACAGATAGTTATGGTTATAGTTTTCCTTAGTTAGGATTAAAGATAAATTACATATACGACTTTAGACTCACAAAGGATAGATGATGGGATAGTTTCTTTAAATCTTGCTAAATGTTAATGGACTAAATAATGTTAACTGTGGTTCTTATTTTATAACTGATTTTAAGGTTTAAACCCTTCTCTTTATTTTAGACAGAAAAGAGGAGATAATGGGAGATGTCATTCTGTAAATATGTTTCTCTTATTGGTTATTGAATAAAGCACTGTTGGCCAATAGGAAAGCAAGATAGGTGGGACTAGGAGACTAGGAGGAGAGAAGAAGTAGTAGGGAGGAGTTTCAAGATGTAGAACTAACAAGGTAGAACTCCAAATCCTCTCTCCGGTAAGATAAGACCACGTGGAAATACTTAGATTACTAGAAATGGCTTAATATTTAAGACAAAGCTAGCCAATAAGTAAAGTGAATAACAGGCCAACAGCATTATATCCAAAAAAAAAAAAAAAAAAAAAAAAAATTGCAGGTTTGCCAGGAATGACTGAGGTCATGCTAAGGCTTTGAAATTCCCAAGGAAGAGCAGCCCCAAAATTTCAGATAACAATCACTGATTATTTACAAGAGATTACTTAAATGCCCAAGTGACCATCACTCTGGAGTAAATGCCAAGTGCAATGGCTCTTCTAGTTTTTCCCAACAGAATTTTTTGTGTATGAGTACATAGTTTTTCCACTATAGTATCCTATGTATGAGTATTTTGCCAGCATATGTTCATATGTACACTGTGTCTGAGGAATGTTGTGGAATATTAGTTTAAGATGGGCTGCATTCCTTTATGCTGTGAAATACTTGTTTAATGATGCAAAGATATGTTGTATTTGCTTAACTGTGTAAAGCTGTGTTACTTGGCCTGCCTAAAATACCTGACTGGTCTAATAAAGATCTGAGCAGCCAACAGCTAGGTAGAAGAGAGAAACAGTTGGGGCTGGCATGCAAAGGGAATAAATAGTAGGGGAGGAGTGAGCAAAGGTGAGAGGACACCAGGAGTCAGCCATCCAGCCATACAACCAGAAAGGAAGAAGGAAAGAAAGGAATATAGAACAGAGAAAGGTAAAAGCCCACAGGCAAAAGGTAGCTGAGATAATTTAAGAAAACTAGCAAAAAACAAGTCAAGATAAGGCTAGGCATTTGTAAGTAAGAATAAGCCCCCAAAAGAATGAAATAAATAATCAGATCCCCTAGAACTGTAGTTAAGATTATACGCTAACATGTGGGTACTATGAACTGATTCTAGTTCCTCTATAAGAACAGCAAGCACTCTTAACCATTACACCATTTCTCCAGTGCCGGGTGATGATGGCACACACCTTTAAACCCGGTGGGGGTGAGGGGGTGTGGAGGCAAGCAGATCTCTGGAGTTCAAGGCCAGCCTTGTCTACTGAATGAGTTCCAGGACGGCCTCCAAAACTAGAGAAAATGTCTGGGAAAACCAACCAAACAAACAAAAAAGAAAAGAAAAAAACAACAAACAAAACAGGAGCTGGGGAGTGCTTGCCATGCAAGCATTAGGACCTGAACTTAAATCCCTAGCAGGGCATGACATGCACGTGTTTAACCCCAGCTTAGTGGGGGCAGCAATAGGACTGCTGGGGTTCACTAGCCAAGTCTAGCTCCAGCTTCAGTGAGACCTTGCTCATTGGATAAGGCAGTGGCCACAGTCAATATCTGCTTGTCCTCTTCTGGCTTGAACATGCATGTACACAAACACTAGAGACAAACTGAAGAGTTTATCACAATGCAAAAACTGACTTAGGTGTGATTTGCTCAAGGTGGTGACTAGTATTCCAGAAATCAGGAGTTCAGCCTGGATCAAAGCTTTCCTACTACTGCCCAATGCTATTAGCAAGCATTTTGAGACCCAAGGCTTGGTTTTAAGCTTTGATCCCATTAGCGGAATTACTTGGTATATTTAAACCTGCAAGGTACCAACCACACCTACTAGAAGGTTGGGCCCCTTGTGATACTTGACTAGTCTAACTGCTAAAGGAACAATTTTATGAGATTATATTGGTAATAAAGAACTCTGTCATAGGAGTTTAGGTTGAGCCAGGTGTGTAACACCTATAACCCAAGTACTGAAGGAGGCCCCATGCAGAGGGACCTATTTGTTCTGCAGTGAACACTAAAGAACAGGGCATTGAGAATGTGAACCAATGTTCCACATTGGAATGTTGCTGTTTATCTTTTATCCAAGAGGAAAATAAAGAGTAACTGGTAAAACAAAGGCAGCCAGACATGACACACAGATTTCTAGCACTCATCACAGATCTGACTTAGGTCTTACCTGGTCTACACAGCAAGCTCCAAGCCAGCTAGGACAGTGCTAACAAGATTCGTTTGCAAGTACATTGTTAGCTACATCTGAAGTAGAATATAAACACTAATGACACAACTGGGTACTTGAAGAAATAAATTATTTTTTAAGAGTGATTTTGTCGGCGTTGGGGTTTTGTCTGCATGTATCTGTGAACGTCCCAGATTCTCTGGAACTGGAATTACAGTCAATTTGTGAGCAGCCATGTGGGCACTGGGTAAAGAACAGCCAAAGCTCTTAACCACAGTCATCTCTTCATCCCCCAAAACTTACTATTTTTTTTGTATCTAAATTTGATTATTAGGCCTTGGGATATCAAAAGCAATAAACATGTAAGAATCCATACACATACTTACTGAAAGCACACACCATGTTATGGATGGGGGTTGTGATCATTTTTCACACTTGTTCTGAAATCAACTGCATCCAAATTATGGAATGTTATAGGTTTACCTTAGTGGTAGAATCTTCCCTAGCACACAGGAGGCCATATTATATCCCTTGGGATCCACAAGGATTGGTACTAATGGTGGTGACCACAAAAAGACCAGTATTTTGTAATTACCTTGGATTTTAAAAATGTATTCATGAATGTTTCTTATTAATGCACCATGTACATGTAGGCCAGAAAGGATGAGGGGACCAGACCTCCTGGTGTGGGCTACCATCCATGCTCTGTGAATCAAATCTGGGTCCTCTGGTAGAATAGGCAGTGCTTTTAACCATTGTCTGAGTCATCTATCTGGCTTCCTGTGCTGATTTTTTTTTTTTGCCAAAATAAATGAACAAATTTTAATGTAAGATTTGGAAATTAAGACATGCTCAGGAAGAGGGTAAGAATTATACACCTCTGGAAATGAGGAACTGTACCACAGTTCATACTTGCTTTACAATGTTGCTTTTTGTCAACTTCACACAAGCTGGGGTCACCTGGGAAGAATAAACTGCAATTGAGAAGTTACCTTCATTAGATGGGCCTAGGAAAGTCTATGGTGAGTTATCTTCATTACTGATGAGGGAATGCCCAGGTCACTATGGGTTGTGCTGTCCCTGGGCAGGTGTCCCTGGGTTGTTTAAGAAAGCAAGAGAAGGGGAGGAAGCCAGAAACATTTGTCCTTGGTCTCCACTACATCTCTTGCCCAGAATTCCCTTTATGATGAACTATGAACTTGAGCGGAAATAAACCCTTTTCTCCCCAAGTTGCTTTTGGCCAGTAGTTTATCACAGAAATAGAAAGCAAACTAAGACAGTGCCTAAGTAAAAGCCCATGGTTTTAATATCTCTCACCTATGTAATGAAGCCAAATTCATACTAAAAATTCATTTACCTAAGAAACCTTATTTCTCAGAACTCTAACTCTGCAGCTGACTTGAAGGGAGAAACCCACCTTAATTACTAAAGACTGTCCATTCATTTACATTATTTTATTCAGAAATGTTTATAACAGTACAGCGATACTAAACTTCAGAGACAATGACTGTTATTAGTTTAGGCATCATCAGTTTATTATAAAAGGGAGGCACGGAAATTATTTACATGATGAATAGTTCAGAATGTCGGCGGAATGGGCAGCTTCATGTGATACCATTTCAGTGATTTCAGTCCATATACTTTCCAAGAATGTCACCATCTCTAAATAAGAAATAATCCTGTGAATAAAGAAACCACCAGTTAAGACAGTAAAAGCAAATACACAAAGCTTTATTGTCAGGTGGTGGCACATGTCTTTAATCCTGGCACTTGGGTGGCACAGGCAGGCGGATCTCTGTAAGTTTGAGGCCAGGCTGGCCTACTAAGTGAGTTCCAGGACAGCCAGGGCTACACAGAGAAACCTTGTCCTGAAAAATTAAAGGGGGGGAGAAAAAAAAATCACTTTTACTTACCTTGTCATCTAGAATTACTTTGGTGCCTCCATATTCTGGGAGAAGAACTTTGTCTCCAACTTTCACACTAACCGGCTGAATCTCTCCACCCTTAAGAAAACAGTTGGTTATTAGCAAAGGCATCTTGTTCACTAGATGCACAGTGAACACTGTTTCAGTACATACACCAGGAGCCTCCTGTCTCAGCTTTGTGTTAATTATATGCGTGCATCATACACTTGACTCTACAGACCTTTAAGTCATATGAAATGTGCTCACTCAAAACCAGTATGTTGTTCCATATCTAATTAGTGGTTAAGCAATATAATTTACAATGTAAGCATTACCTTAGTCACAATTTGAACAGTGACTTACACTAAAACTGCCTTTTAGTGAATAGCTATGGTTGCCTAACTTTTAACTGTTAAATATTAACACACCCTGTAGACCATGTGGAAAAAAAGCAGCTTTTAATACCAAATAGTAAATGGTTATATATAACTTCAATGAACAAAATTTGGTATTCGTTTTCTTTATTCAGTGTCCTTGTCCTCAAGGCACAGGCTTGGTCAGAGACCAGAGGTATTTCCATCACACTCCAGAGGTATTTCCATCTCCCTTTGAAAAATGACAACTAAAGCTACAAGTGGCATGAGATTAAGACAATTTCAGTAATCAAGACATCAGCTAGCCCCTCCCCACCATTCCACCTGTTCTTTTTGGGGTAGGAGGAGACAAGTTCTATATAGCCTCTAGTGATCTTCGTTTCAGGGTCCTCCTGCCTCAGCTCAGGCCCCCATGACTGCCAGAATTCTTTCAATTCTGGAATAAACAAAACAAACAAACAAACAAACAAAAAAAAAAAACCAGGGTTTATCTAACTTTATGTATGATCTTTTGTGTACTTAAAATGTAGGTTGCAACAAAATAACTACCAAAGGTAATTCATTTTGTGAGGTTTTATTTTTCCTTTATTTTGAGGCCACCTCCTGCTGGCCTCAAAGACTCTACAACTGTTCTCCCTTGGCCTCCAAAGTACGATGGCCACAAGGCATGAGCCACCATCATGGCAGACACATTTTAATCTCTGGAATGGGTGGCATTGCAGAATTAGGTCAGCGGGTAAATGGACTTGCTATCCAAGCACCGGAACCCCAGAAGGGGATCCCAACACTAGTTTAAAAAAAAAAGAAAAAAGGCTGTGAACATACTGAAACCCGACTAGTACAAATGAGAGGCCTTGTCCCCTAAGAGGAAGGTGGAGATGACTCTGCAAGCCAGCAGACATGCAAAGTGTCTCTCTCACACACAACACACGAAAGTCCTTGGGTGTGTACTTTTTGTCTTTTTAGAGTGCCTCTCCATCCTTTAGAAAAATAAAACAATTCTACAATGGTTTTCCTTAATGTGGGCTTCTTTGTAAATTTAAACTATTTAAAAAGCCACTTCTGGTAACCTAGGATTTTCCACTCCTTTTTTTCCACATCACACGTCCCGCTGCAGTAGCTTCCAGTTACCTTTCCTTTCGAGCCTGATCCCACAGCCACTACTGTAGCTTGCAATACTTTTCCTTGAGACTTTTCTGGAAGCATAATGCCACCTTTGGTCACAGTTTCGGCGGCACTCCTTTCAACCAATACTCTGTCAAAGAGTGGTAGAAACTTTTTGAAAGCTTGTCCAGCCTGCGGAGAAAAACGTGTGTTTAAACCGACTGTAATTGCATTTGCAGCGGCAAAGCCTTAACAGGTCAAACGTCCCAAACTAACAAGAAAATCCAAGTGTACTTTAAGTTAATATTCTCAAGTGTTCCATTCCCTGTCTATTGTGTCCGTCTGTGTGGGGTGTTCATTGCTCATCAGCAGCCACACTGCCTTTAACCACAACCTTGGTCTGTTCCAAGGTCAAACGTTTTCCTTCTTTAGGATTTTTTTTTTTTTTTTAATCCTAGTATCGCCAGTGAGGGAGTGTCAATTTTGGGCCTGGGTCATATATTCTCCAACACAGTATGCATCCTTTAAAGCCCTGCCAGGGCAGGTGGGCTGCTGAGTGTGCACCCGGGTTCCCGCCCCCCTGCCCCGGGCGCCTGCAGCACACGTGCGAGCGAAGAAGCCATGGTGGAGAAACGCACCGGACAGGCCTCGCTTCTGCGGAACCCGGGCGGGCGGTGGACACTGCGTGGGCCCTCCTGCCAGTCCTAACCCGGCACACGGGGACGCCGTGGGTGGCTGGCGACCCCGACCCGCAGGCAGGCCTGCCGGCCCCGGGACACTCACTCACTCACTCACTCACCATGACTCGCGCCGCCGCAGCTCAGACTCTGCACTCGGGCCGCCGCTGCAAGGAGAGTCCGGAGGGCCGGCTGGGGACACGTGAAAAGGCCACGCAGCGCGCAGGCGCACGCGGGCCCTGAGCGTGAGAGAGGGCGGCCACTCCAGCGCGCGCGCCGATTGGTGGCGAGGGCTCCGCGCAGGCCGCCGACGGGGGCGGTCGGAGGCGGAAGAGAAGGGGCGCACTTTCTAGGCTTTTCCAGGCGGCCCGCCGAGGTGAAAGGACGAGCCCTTCGTCCTCCTCCCGGAAATGACGCCACTTGACCCTTGACCCACGGGAGGCGCGGCGCCCTTCCGGAAGGTTCTAGAACGGAGCGAGGCCCAGGGAACTAGCGTGCGGCGGCGGGAGAGGGTTGGGCCCGCGGGGCTGAGACCGCTCGGGTACTGGGGGCGGGGCCGCGCGCGCCGCATGCAGATTGCAGGGCCCGGGCGTGGGAGGGAGCGGGGCGCGCGCTCACGCGGGGCCGCGGGGCGGGGCCGCGGAGGGAGGGGACTCGGGCTCATTGCGGTGCGCGCCCTGCGCTCGGTCCCTCACTCGCAGCCGACGGCCTGCTTCGCCTCGTGCGCTCCCGCCGCAGCCCCGCAGGTACGCGGCCTCGGCGTGCATGGCGCCCGGGAGCTGGCCGGCCTGCTTCCGGCACGGCCTGAGCACGGCGTGCAAGGGGACAAGGCCGGCAGCGACGCCGCAGGCTCAGCTGGCCTGTCCAGGCCCGGCCGGGCCACGCGGGTTTCATCACGTGCGGCGGGGACCACGCGACCCAGGCCAAGCGCGGGAGCGAGGACGGGCTGGGGTGGGAGCCACTTGGGACCTCTGGGGCCACCTGCGCGTGGCGCACTGCAGGGATCTTGTCGGAGGGTGGTCGCGGTCCCTTCTGGCCCCCACTGGCTGCAGGGATCTGGCGCCTTCACTTTGACCTTGCCTGGGGCTTCTTGTCGGGAAGACACGTGGGGCCGCGCGGATGGGCTACGCTGCGGTCCTGGTTTTTGCGGCCTTGCTAACCGCTGTGCTACAGTAGCTCCGGTTGGATACCCGGTGCCACTTTTCCTGAGCGGGGTTTTGCACCGTCATGAGGACTAGGGTAGCTATGCACTTGCATTTGGAACCTGCCACGCTTAGGCCAGCTTGATTTTTTTTTCCTATCCCCACACACACTTGGAGCGGATATGCTCCCAAGGCCGCTTTGGCAGTGAAAGATTAACTCGCCATTGCAGGAGTGGGTGGCCATGGGGAATGGTTTCGTGTGCTAGTGCTGTAGGTCAAGTATGGGGGCGGCCTCCTTAATCCGTTGCTAGCAAATGATGGCCTGAAGCTGCAGCGCCGTGTGTGGCCCAGGCGTGGAGGTTAGCAGAGTACTGCCAAGTTCCGATCTAGCTGGCCTCCATGTTCTCAAGTACAGGTGGACAAGTTTGTCATTAGCTAGTAGTGATCCTTGGCTTTTTTTTTTTCCTTCCTCCCCCAGAAATGCTTCGACTACCCACAGTCCTTCATCAGATGAGACCAGTGTCCCGGGCGCTGGCTCCTCATCTCACTCGGGCCTATGCCAAAGATGTTAAATTTGGTGCGGATGCTCGAGCCTTAATGCTTCAAGGTGTAGACCTTTTAGCCGATGCTGTAGCTGTTACAATGGGGCCAAAGGTATCAGTATACTTTAAATCGTGTTAATAAAAGAATAATGTTCTGTAGCTGCAAATTAGACAATATTTTCTTAAGTTTTATGGAAGTCTAATTCGCATGTAGTACATGTTAGTGATTTGGGGGTGTTATTTAGGAGTTTTATTAGTTGGTGACCTTAGTACTGCTGCAGCTGATTTGGGGGACTTTTGTGCAACATGATGTAATAGAGTAGTAATAGCTCAAGGAGGATTTTCAAACTTGAGGCGTAATTAATCTTGTGTGAATGCTTGCATTAAATTTTGGATCCTTTCCCAGAAGTTAGAGGGTATAGTACAGCTAAGGGGAAAGTACAGCTCAAGTCTAGTAACACCTCAAAGTGTATAATTGTAAATGTGAGGTTTTATACTGTACTGAAGTATTTATTCCAGCATACATACAGTAAATGCACTAGCATAGAGTTTATGTGTATTGGTGTCTTGCCTGCGTGTATATCTGTGAAGGTTCCAGAGTTGTGAGCTGCTGTGTGGGTGCTGGGAATTGAACCTGCATCTTAACCACTGAGCCATGAGTTTATTTGCATTATTCTGTAACTGTTACTACCACACAGCTCCAGAAATGTTTTCACTTGCACATGGAAAAGGCTATATGGTCTCCCAATTATCCCTTTATTGTTCGTACCTCATGATTTCTGCCATTTCCACATTCCAAAAGTTTGGTTTGGGGTTTTTGAGAGCCTTGATAGCTTAGTCTGACCTCTAACTCCCTTTGTACTAAGGCTATTCTTGAACTCCTGATCCTCCTCCTTCTGTCTCCCAAGTGTGTAGCAGTTCAGTATACTATTTGCCTTGTATTTATTGAGACAGGGTCTTTAGCCACTTGAGACTCCTGTGGATGAAGCTAGCTTGAACAGATCAGTGCTGAGATCAAAGGCTGGAGTCACTCATCTGTGTGGTTGAGTAAGGAGCCATAGCACTTTGAGGTCATTGGATGTGGGGCACAGCCACTTTAATGTTAAAGAGCTGCATAAATTGCCATTTATATAGCTCAAGACAGAATACCTTGGTTCAAATCCAAGTTGCCAGTACTGTTGATGTCATTTTTGAACTTCTGTATTGCCTAAGCAGAAAACTGTTCTTAACTTACTGGCTGATATTTAGTGAATGGATGAGATTCATGTTTCAGAACTGTTAAAAATCGATAACTTTGAGGCTTATGGTTGAGGATTATTGTTCTGTTGTTGTAGGGAAGAACGGTGATTATTGAACAGAGTTGGGGAAGTCCCAAAGTAACGAAAGATGGGGTCACTGTTGCCAAGGCAATTGATTTAAAGGATAAATATAAAAATATTGGAGCTAAACTTGTTCAAGATGTTGCCAATAACACCAATGAAGAGGCTGGGGATGGCACCACCACTGCTACTGTTCTGGCACGTGCTATTGCCAAGGAAGGCTTTGAGAAGATCAGCAAAGGGGCTAATCCAGTAGAAATCCGGAGAGGTGAGAGCACCATGTCATTGCCCTACAGCAATGAGAGAATGTTGTCTCATTTTTGTCCTTTCTTATACATTTGTTGGTGTGTCTGGATGGAGTTGTACTCTCTACCTTTGTTTCATTTGCTCAGGTGCCATATTGGAAATAGGCAACGTGATTGAATTAGTAGTAGCTTATGGTTTGGCCCTCTGTATACTTCATGCTCATCTTACAAGTAGTCTCCTGCCTAAGCCTCCTGGGTATTGGGATTACAGGTGTGAGTCACCACTCAACATCTTGGTCAAGTTTTCACAATGTTTATGGTGTTCAACTTTATGTGAAGTTGCATGATTGAGTGCATGTCATGCCACTTGGTACAGTTAGACAGTGCTGACATGAGAGCTTGCACATACATGTTAAAATGAACCTATAAGTTTATATTCAGTTTGTGAGCCATAATGAGCATTGTAACATGCATTCTTAAACTAGGTGTGATGTTGGCTGTTGATGCTGTAATTGCTGAACTGAAAAAACAATCTAAACCTGTGACGACCCCTGAAGAAATTGCTCAGGTAAGGGTTTTTCCTGTTTGAAAAGGTCTTTTTGGTTTTTCAAGATAGGGTTTCTTTGTGTAGCCTTGGCTGTCCTGGAACCTGATATGTAGACAAGGCTGGTGTCAAACTCACAGAGACCCACCTGCCTCAGCTTCCCAAGTACGGTGATTAAAAGAGTGCATTACCACTACCCCCCCAACACACACGCATGCACGTGCACACTAGTAAAATAAGATTACTATTTGGGAAGATGTTCTTAGGTGTTCTCAATGTTCCCTGACCTATATGGGATCAAACCTAGTCCTTGAAACATAGCAGGCAAGTAATAAGTATTTTTTATTTGTATGTGCCTGGGTATATGTACGTGTGCCACATGATTTATGAACCCATAAAAGGCAGTGGTAGAGACAGTTACCAGCCAGTGTGAGCTAGGTGCTGACCTGAATAGTAAATCATCTTAACCACTCAGGCTTCTCCAGCCCCCTTGGTATATTCTTAACGTGCTGAAGAATGGACGACCATTTCACCAGTACTTAGTTAAAGCTGGGTCAAAGTGTCAGTTTAGAAGGTCAAGGGGGAAGAGGGTTGAAAATACTGATCCTGCCATTTAATATTGAAGTTACATGGTTATTTCAGGTTGCTACAATTTCTGCAAATGGAGACAAAGACATTGGAAACATCATTTCTGATGCAATGAAAAAGGTTGGAAGGAAGGGCGTCATCACAGTGAAGGCAAGTGTGGGGTTTGATGTGTTCTGATAACACCTTCAGTGAGGTGTGTGTCAACTGCATTCCAAGCAGAAAACTTGAGTATCTCGTTTGTGCCAGCACATTCATTCCTTTGTCTCTCTCTATCTGTGCTGAGTATGAGGCTTACTGGTGTCTGAATTGGGAGTCTAACCTCTCAGAATGAATCTGTCCAAGTAAATAAATAAGTATAGTTAGCTCAGCTAGCTGTGAATAGGGGGAAAGATAGAGCAAGACCTCACTTTATAGCTTTGGTTATCCCAGAGCCATAGGCCTCAACCTCAGAGAGGTGTTATTCCTCTGCCTTCCCTTTGTTGTGGGGACTAACGGTGTGTGTACCTGGTGGCTCAGATTCCACAAAAAAATAGGAATTGTGAGCCACCATGTAGGTGCCAAGAATCTAACCAGATCCTATTCATTAGCAGCAAATGTTTCTAACCCCTGAGCTATCTTAAGATTTAGCTGCCCAAGTAATGTTTCCTCGCTGAAATCCATTCATCTTAATTCTTTGACTCTTCATAGGATGGAAAAACACTGAATGATGAATTAGAAATTATTGAAGGCATGAAATTTGACAGAGGATATATTTCCCCCATATTTTATTAACACATCAAAAGGTAAGAGTAAGTCAGTGAATCATGAAAATACACATCAAAGGTATCTGTCAGCTGTAGGCAGTGGGTTGGTAAAACCTAAAAATTAAAAAGTCAATGGTTCACTAAATGAATGAGTTGTCTCTGTAGAAGTAAATTGTTAGTTTTCTCAGTGCTGTTAGAATTTGGTTTTACTGTTCACTGTTTTACAGGTCAAAAATGTGAATTCCAAGATGCCTATGTTCTGTTGAGTGAAAAGAAAATTTCTA